TGGCCTCTAGTTACTGTTCATTTGTGATCATAATTAAATCACATAGTCAATTATTTCAACACAGTCAGTCAATACAATATGTAAAATGAGAAGTTTTGAAGAATATATACTATGTCTATATTTACAAGAGAGAAAAAGAAGGGCAATGTTGGTATTATATAAATTAATACTAATGTTGGCGATGCATTTAAATTTTTACAATGACTGGGCTACAATATACTAAACTAAAGTGCTATATATAACTAAAGTATTTATACTAACATATATATATATATATATATATATATATATATATATATATATATATATATATATATATATATATATATATATATATATATATATATATATTATAGAAGTATGTTTTATCTCATGTCTCAGTTATGGTAATTGTCAATTGTGTATACCAAGAAATGTTGTTTAATTTGCTTTTTGAAGATGTTAATAGGAGTTTATTTCATTAAATTTTGTTTCTAACGAATTCCATACATCAACTCCTTTATATTAGAGACTGTGTTTCACATAATTAATATAATTTGTCCTTTTATAACATTCGTGAAGTTTTGAAGCATTTCTCGTGTTATGGCTTATGTTCATGAATTTTGTTGTTTGTCACAAAATAATTTTTAAAGAAATCTGGTAAATTATTAAGCTGGTGGTACCGAAACATAAATAAGGCAGTTAAATAGTCAATGATTTAAGAGCAATGCCTCTGGTGTTCCATAAACTACCGTTCTCTCTGGCATTATTCGTGGAACAGGCGATCACATTACATGAGAGGCAAATCGATTTACCGAAGCCTGTATAGTAGGCGGGTTGACAAACACATCTCATTTTTCTTTAATTATTGTTCAAATCGCATTCTTTTGATGATCGTTAAAAGTAGAAATACGAAATATTGGGCGACTTCACACAATACTTGATCATACGACGCCATCTTTGTTTCGGAATTAGTAAATTTAAAACGCGAACGAGTTCCTGATTTTGGTACTCAGGCTGTGATTGGCTAAACAATCGGAATGGAATGTGTTGTTGCAGTAAGCAGCCTGTTGGTGGGGAGAAAACCTCGGACCCGCGAACAGGCTGCGTAGGAGACTATACGCCACTGGGCATACCCCCAAATCCACAGGGTGCAGAGAACTTACTTCATCTCAGTGCCAGCCCTCCCAATCGTAAAATTGCTGTGTGTGTTCCTGTGGATTGAGAAGGATTTGCAATAACACCAGAAAAATTCAGATTTACTTGCATTTTTCAGGTAGTTGATCCCTCTCCATCCGCAGCTTTCTGGTATATAATTATATACAATCTGAAGTCACTCAGAAATGTCAAAGTAATTGTTATTAATATAGTGATAATTATTATTGTTGCAATCTGAATATTTGAATATGGAAATTCTGAATATGGAAATGTGGTCATTGTGGTGTGCCTTTAATAATGTGAATAAATCAAATGCTAAAATAAACCACGTTATGATCTAATTAATCTTCTTTTTCTGGTTTAATATTTGCAATCAGGTGGAGTAACAACTTCTGTTCATACGGCAGCATTTCCCCCTTGCGATAGTAACTTCTAGTATAACTATTAAACCAGTCAGGAATAGCTGTGTTTTGACTTTGTGAAGAGCTGCAAATTTTATTTGCAGATATAGCCGAGGAATTTGACACCATCCTAAATAGAAACTACAACTAAATCAGCCACAGATTTATATTTTTTTCCTGAAAATTTCTGTTTTTGTTCGATAAAAAGAGACATATTTATGAGATGAAACGAACTAAAAACGTACTTGTCCATACTGTTTATTAACTGTTTTCATATTTGTAATTGTCTTTGATTAAATATGGCGTCCGTTGCGGACCGAAATAGCGTAATTACAAATTTATTCCAAATTAACGTATTTTATTCCAAATTAACATATTTTATTCCGAAAATAAAAAAATTAGGCCAATTTTTATAAAATGCTGCCAAAAATGTTTTAAATCTTCGATCGGGAATAAAAAAAACAACATTCGAAACAAAAATCTCGTCGAAAAAACTAAAAAACATTCAAAAATTAAAATTCGATTAAAACCGGAAATTGGTTGCTACCAAAAAAAATATTGTCCAGTGGAAACGGAAGTGTGGAATTTTCAAGGTAATTCATCTGAGCAGCAAACGGAAGTAAAATTTACGTTTGACATTTGATCTGAATTTGTGAATTCTGAACATATTTTGCGAAAAGAAGCATGGCTGGTGTGCCAAATGGTCAGGTCAACATTCAAGATATTGTTAGAGCCGTGGTTGATAATTTTAATAGATTGCCGCCAAGATCGTCACCTAATCGTACGGGAACATCTAGCGCTTCCACAACAACAAATGAGGAGCTGAACCGTTGCTTCCAAATTCCTCGAGGCTCGCAGTCTTTTCGACCACCGGCACGAGCAGAAAGTCAGCCAAATTCGCAAACAGCAGCTTGTACAACAACCGATACAAATGACTTGAGTCGACGTCCACAAACCTCACAATCCTGCCAACCACAAGTTGTTTAATAGCCAGCCAACTCTTTCATGCTCGCTATCATCTGGCTTTTCAGCGAGGACAAATTATGGCGCGACTACGCCGAATAGTGCACGTGCAACTTCTCGAAGGCGACCTCGAAGTGCGAATCGTTCTAGCAATACTGGGCGGTTTCAGCCGTATTCCAGTAGCGTAAGTCAAGTGTCCGCAGAACCAAAAGTTTATTACAAAGCAGTATGTTTACTTCCTTTGCCAATGTGGTACACCGTCCCAAGAGGAAAAGTCAAAGTTGACCTCATCGAGAAAAATTTGTGTGTCGATGCATGGGCGGTCGATAAAAGTTGGAGTGCGGAAGATCTTAAATCTGAAGCTGCCAAACTCTTTCCAAAGGTGCTGGGAATTGACAGCCCTGAACTAATACCGTAAGTTTGCATTTGAATTTATAATTTGACTTTGTTTTTATAATTTTGTGAACTAGCCTGCATGGCGGGCTCATTGAAAGGAGAGCCTGCAACAATCTCAAGGAAATTTGATCACCGCCCACTATTTACTATGATAATTTATTTCCTTTATCCTTGGAATACGAACTGTCTATAGACTGTGCATGATGGAGTGTGAGTAATAGCTAATATACTTTATTACTGTTGTAGGTCATAGGTAGCTTGCAAATTCAAAAAATTCGCAGTAGGGATGGGCCGATAGCTGAAATTGCCGATTAGCCGATTCGATTAATCGGTGGCCGAAAATACGTAATAATCGGCCGATTAATCGGCCAAAGCCGATTATTGCCATTTACACATTTACCAGTAGGCATTAATTGTCCTGATGAACCTCAAATGCTTTTGAGCATTAAAATGAAACTTGAGAAGCTAATGCAGCGAAGCTCTCAGCTACAGTATCTCTGGCATTCATTCATGTCCCATTCACACAAGCATCCAGCCTCGCTTTGGTGAGTTCAATATTTGAACTTTGTTTGTGATTGTCATCGGTTAACCAATGAAAAGACTCACATAAATTTAGACCAATCACAAACATAGTTCAAATATTGAACTCACCAAAGCGAGGCTGGATGCTCGTGTGACCAGAGCCTCCTCGTCTGTGTCCTCACTTCTATCGGCACAGGAGGCTCTGGCACTCAGGGTAAAATTCACAGTACTCTTTCAAAATATATACACTTTTATTGATAGCGAATATTAATAAACATTGCGCCACGTACGGTTCTATAATTTATGCGTATTTTGGCATATATTATTTTAGCCCATAGGATTTTCGCGTCCTCTCAGAAATATCAAATTTCCTTGAGACTGTTGCAGGCTCATTATTCAATGAACCTGCCACGCAGGCTAATTGTAAACTTAAACAAATTTTTATTACGCATTTATAATATGGCAGTTGTAATTTGTGAACGCTGATTGGCTATTTTGATGTTGCAGGTTTGAGTTTGTTAGAAGTGTGGGAACAGCAATTGTTCCGATTACACTGCACCAAGGACAGGCCCTGGATAGCAAGGTTTTAAGACATATCTCCGGATCTGGTCCTGTTTATTTGAGAGCACTCCAGGATTTAGATCAAGATGAAGAAGTAAGTATTAAGTGGCAACTTCATTAACTGGAAGTAAATTCTTTAATCCACTAATAAGTTAATGAGTAAAATCATCTGATCATGCTATAGACAGAGCAAAATTTCCCTGTCATTGGAAAGCGTAAAATACAAAAAATTCCATCCAGGGACATTGTCAGCAAATGGATTAATTTTTATATTTGCAAATCGACCAAATCATTTGCAAATGAACCATTAACCTGTTAGCTATAGTAGTAGTCTTCCTCTGATAATTAAGTAAAATTGTCTGCTGTTAGACAGAGTAGAATACTAAAATATAGGTACTTGTTAACTGACAGTGACATTCCAATGAGAAGTAAACTTGCCTGGTGTTACATGGAGTTAAATACCAATGTAGGGCACATCTAAGGCCTAACTTTCCATGGGGGTTCTGAACTAGACTGCTGCACCTCCCCTAATTTTTTTCAACCTTCACTATATCCACCAGAATCCGACCTTAGTAGTAGTGTATGTGGTTTTCAACCCCTATTTTTGTGGTGGAGTGTGGTGGAGTGTGGTGGAGTGTGGTGGAGTGTGGTGGAGTGTGGTGGAGTGTGGTGGAGTGTGGTGGAGGGAGGATGCGTAATGACGTCACTCATTAGCATACGTCATAATTATATGCAATGACGTCACGCGGGCGAGCTTAAACACGATCGGGTGAAACTTGCTGACTCCGCATTTTTTAGCGTCCCCCCCCACGTGTGTGGTACAATGGAGGGATTAATGTTGGCTTACTATGATTGGTTGTGTCCCTCGCATGGCGAAATTGTTATCGAAATTAATATATAGCAGAGTTATAGCCGTATCTTTGCTCGGAAGAGATAAATTTCCACGAGTATATTGAAGGATTTTTCGTATGTTCCATAGCGAGGAATCTTTTCGTCACAAAAATCAAGACATATTTTAAACTAAACAGCTGCTAATCCCGAGTTGTCAACGTCGTTGCTATGCATATGGTCAATATTTGCATGTTGTTCAACATTATTTAGCAATCCTCCTACATACATATATACTGTTAAGATGATCATAAGAAAGCTTATCAAGAGTAGAAGTTAGAATTAGAACAGTTGTAATATTTTTTGACACTATCATCTGTTATTTGTATCAATAAACATGTTTTAAGCTTTGCAAATTTGCGTTGTTTATGCGTTGCTAAGTCATTAGGAGGTGTGTAGGTAATTAAGGGGATTAAGGCAATACGAATTTGCATAACTAAATGTATCCCGATGGATAGATAGGGATTATTTTTAACGCAGGTGTATACCTTAAAATCAGGCGCGTGGCTCTGCGGGTACATGCATATATTAAAGTACAACATATTTGTACACGGATCTTTTCGCGCGGGCGGAAAGAGCGGGCTTTGCCGGCAAAAAATTACGCAATATTTCAGTTTTTAAACACATTTATTTCTTCAAAACGTTATACAAAATTTAGTACGGTCTACTTCTAAGAGCGTAACGTCTAGGTGTTTTTGTTATTTTTAAACAGTTCTCATATTCTTGTCTATCTTCTGGGGATAACTTTGCAAGTTTTTCCGGCTTCATTGGAATATATTTCGGTCTATCGCTCAATATAAAACGTTCATAGAGTCATTCGTGCTAGGTCACGTTCGGTCCAATCTGCTGGGTCTTTTATTTGTCCATTTTTGGTGTGAACTGTTCATCACATATCATACATTGAGCGTCTTTGCCCCAGTAGAAATCTTTCCAAGAACATCTTGGGCACTACATTAAGTATACAATGTGACCAGTTTCTTCTCCACAATGGTTACAAGCTAGTTTCTCGGGCTCACCTACCTCCTCATTATCATCATCCTCATTATCATCATATTCGCTTTCATTATCACTCTTGTCAGATTCCCTGTTCTCTTCACCAGATTCGCTTTCAACATCACTCTCAGATTGTGGCATTTCATGTTCCTCCTTTGCCATTTTTGACAATAACTACTCGTTTTTAATCAAATCTTTATTAACCCCTGCTTCTACTAGACCTTTTGTAAACAGGTCGAGCCCTCGTGGTTCAGGAATGTGAGAGTTGTATAGTAAAAGTGCGTATTGTAAAAAGTTCTCGATGTTAGTACCAGGAATGTCTCTTCCATGATAAACAATCTCACCCAGAGGATTCCAAGTTAAAATATCACTTGATATAAGAATAGAATGTAGCATTTTTTCTGCTGTAGTTTTGTTGACATTATTGTTCAGATACAAAAGTATATCTTCAATGCGCCAATGTCGCGGAGATGTTTTACTCCCGATGTTCATTGTTGAAATGATGTATAATTTGTAGTCACAGGGCTTTTATACAAGTTCAGCCAGGCTTTCCAAAATAGGACTTAGTAATAGTCCAAGGAAACCTTCACCATGTTGAATGAGTATCCGTTTTTTTCTTCTTCCACATTTTCCTCTATCTACCAACCTAAGCATTTCATGTCTGTAAGGTCTGAGTTTCTTCATTACATGCTTCGACATTAAATATTTTCTTTTCATAACGTTTTCTACACAGATACACAGGCAGTGTACTTGTTCGGCGGTTGCTGTTTCCAGTAGTGCTTGTTGTTGATCAGGCTCAGACGTGCCCAACAATTCAAGAAATGGCTTGTGCCTTAGAAGATTGATCATTTCTGTTCGACGGTTTGGAAGCAAATGAGTAAAACACAACAATAAGGAAGCTTATATCGGAAGAGAGAAAGCAATTTAGACAAGGCTCCGAGCCTAAGGAGCTCGGAGCTGACTCCGAGCCTAAGGAGCTGGCTCAGAGCCTAAGGAGCTGGCTCCGAGCCTAAGGAGCTCGGCTCCGAGCCTAAGGAGCTGACTCCGAACCTAAGGAGCTGGCGCCGAGCCTAAAGAGCTGGCTCTGAGCCTAAGGAGCTGGCTCCGAGCCTAAGGAGCTGGCTCCGAGCCTAAAGAGCTCGGGCCCGAGCCTAAAGAGCTCGGCTCCGAGCCTAAAGAGCTCGGCTCCGAGCCTAAAGAGCTCGGCTCCGAGCCTAAGGTGCTCGGCTCCTTGGGCTTGGAGCTGGCTCCGAGCCCAAGGAGCTGCTCTGAACCTAAGGAGCTGGCTCAGAGCCTAAAGAGCTGGCTCCGAGCCAAAAGAGCTGGCTCCGAGCCTAAGGAGCTGGCTCCGAGCCTAAGGAGCTGGCTCCGAGCCTAAGGAGCTGGCTCCGAGCCTAAGGAGCTGCCTCCGAGCCTAAGGAGCTCGGCTCCGAGCCTAAGGAGCTAGCTCCAAGCCTAAGGAGCTAGCTCCAAGCCTAAGGAGCTGGCTCCGAGCCTAAGGAGCTCCGAGCCTAAGGAGCTTGGGTCCGAGACTAGGGAGTTGGCTACGAGATACTAGTTATATAAACTCGGTTTCTATTTGAGAGATTTATTATCTAACTATTCGTCATAGAGTAAACATGTCTCATTCGTGTCATATCTGTGGGAAATATTTCTCTAAACCGTTCAATTTAAATCGACACAAACAAAAAGTACATGATCAAAAACCAACCGACAACATTCGCATGACGACTAATGGATCTGTAGTTTTGCAACACCCATTTACGTGCATCGTAGCTGGGTGTACCCAAAGCGGCAAAACTGTATGGGTAAAATCTCTCTTGGAGAATGCACAGAAAACTATAAGTCCTGCTCCTCAACGTATCATTTGGTGTTATGGTCAATGGCAATCCTCCTATTTTGATATGATGAGAACGATGCCTGGAATCGAGTTTAATCAAGGCATCCCCGAAGACATCGACAACGCAGATTACTTGGACGTATCGCAACGGAATTTGATCGTATTGGACGACCTTATGGCTCAATCTGGCAAAGATAAACGTATTTCTGATCTTTTTACGAAAGGAAGTCATCATCGAAAGTTATCTATCATCTATATTGTTCAAAATATATTTCATCAAGGCAAAGAAATGAGAAATATCAGCCTAAACGCCCATTATATCGTGTTGTTCAAGTCACCAAGAGATAAACAACAAATTTCTATGCTTGCAAGGCAAATAAATCCCGGAAAAGTACAAGAATTTATGAGGAGTTATGAAGATGCTACGAGCCGACCTCACGGGTATTTGATGTTGGATTTAAAGCCAACAACAGATGATCAACAACGACTCAAGACCAACATACTTCCCGGTGAGATTGAAAAGTTTATACAAAAACAGTCGTATCGACAACCACCGCTTCTAAATGCCATGTATGATGCCGAGCAGCGAATGAAAGAAATCATGGATGCACCACAGCTTAGCGCAGTGGAAAAAAGCAAATTATATTCGGATCAACTAAATCGGTTTCTCACATTCAAAAATAAGATGGATGTCCAAGCTCAAGCTCCTGTTCAGACAACTCCACTAGTGCCTGCAGAAATACCACCACCCAATGAATTTGCTGAGATAGTACCACCAGTGCCTGCTACGCCTAAACCTAATTTCCTTACACCACCACCAACAGAAGAGGAACGGCCAAAACTCAAGCGCAATTTTTTTCACAATTGGATCGACCCAGCAGATTGGACCGAACGTGACCTAGCGCGAATGACTCCGGAAGCAAGAGAGGATTATAAACGTTTTCTATTGAGCGATAGACCGAAATATATTCCAATGAAGCCGGAAAAACTTGCAAAGTTATCCCCAGAAGATAGACAAGAATACGAGAACTCTTTAAAAATAACAAAAACACCTAGACGTTACGCTCTCAGGGTCTGAAATTTGATTTTTTTTAAGTATCCACATGGATACCAAGGTTTTAAAATTTGGTATCCCTCCCGATAATCCAGTATCCTAAATCTGGATACTTAACTAGTTGGCTTTTCGTATCCCACAGGGCCAGACCCAACATCACTCTAAGGCTTACTCTTAGTCAAGCATTTTCATCCATCGCATTTTATGTTTAACATACTAGAATCCTAAAAGGAACTTATACAGTTCAAATATTCAATTTCTTAACAGTTAACAGGGTTATTTAATTATAGATTAAAGTCTAAGTGTCAACTTCTCTGATTTTTAATGCTATCAGTATGCACTCAAATGGGAACTACAGCGTCATTATCATCATCATTGGCTGTATTATCATGAAGACCATTGCCTGCATCAGGAGTTTTGGTGGTTTTAATTAAATATTTTTTACATAATATCACAAGAAAGCATGGATTATTTATGAGTATTTTAGTTCATGACGGCAGCAAAAAAAAGGTATTTCTTTTTTGCTAACTATCGACCTTCAAATTTCCTTACAATCTTCTTGACTTTTCTTCACGTGCCCGCGAATACCGCCTGCTACGCAGGCTAGACTTTTCTTGATTTCAAAAAGATTCTTTTCAATGAAATCTGGACAGTTGTTTCAATGTGGAAACACTATTCAAAATGGCGACTCGCGAATTGAACCATGAGTGGACTACATGCATAAATACAACGTATCGACAACCACCGCTTCTAAATGCCATGTATGATGCCGAGCAGCGAATGAAAGAAATCATGGATGCACCACAGCTTAGCGCAGTGGAAAAAAGCAAATTATATTCGGATCAACTAAATCGGTTTCTCACATTCAAAAATAAGATGGATGTCCAAGCTCAAGCTCCTGTTCAGACAACTCCACTAGTGCCTGCAGAAATACCACCACCCAATGGATTTGTTGAGATAGCACCATCAGTGCCTGCTACTCCTAAACCTAATTTCCTTACACCACCACCACCAACAGAAGAGGAACGGCCAAAACTCAAGCGCAATTTTTTTCACAATTGGGTCGACCCAGCAGATTGGACCGAACGTGACATAGCGCGAATGACTCCGGAAGCAAGAGAGGATTATGAACGTTTTATATTGAGCGATAGACCGAAATATATTCCAATGAAGCCGGAAAAACTTGCAAAGTTATCCCCAGAAGATAGACAAGAATATCAGAACTCTTTAAAAATAACAAAAACACCTAGACGTTACGCTCTTAGAAGTAGACCTTACTAAATTTTGTAAAACGTTTTGAAGAAATAAATGTGTTTAAAAACTGAAATATTGTGTAATTTTTTGCCGGCAAAGCCCGCTCTTTCCGCCCGCGCGAAAAGATCCGTGTACAATTATGTTGTACTTTAATATATGCATGTACCCGCAAAGCCACGCGCCTGATTTTAAGGCATACACCTGCGTTATAAATAATCCCTATCTATCCATTGGGATACACTCAGTTATGCAAATTCGTACTGCCTTAATCCCCTTAATTACCTACACGCCTCCTAATGATTTAGCAACACATAACAACGCAACATTTGCAAAGTTTAAAACATGTTTATTGATACAAATAACAGACGATAGTGTCAAAAAATATTACAACTGTTCTAATTCTAACTTCTACTCTTGATAAGCTTTGTTATGATCATCTTAACAGTATATATGTATGTAGGAGGATTGCTAAATAATTTTGAACAACATGCAAATATTGACCATAACAACGACGTTGACAACTCGGGATTAGGAACTGTTTAGTTTAAAATATGTCTTGATTTTTGTGACGAATAGATTCCTCGCTATGGAACATACAAAAAATCCTTCAATATACATGTGGAAATTTATCTCTTCCGAGCAAAAATACGGCTATAACTCTGCCATATATTAATTTCGATAACAATTTTGCCATGCGAGGGACACAAACTATTCAACACACGTGTGGGACGCTAAAAAATGCGTAGTCAGCAAGTTTCCCCTGGTCGTGTTTAAGCTCGCCCGCGCGACGTCATTGCATATAATTATGACGTATGTTAATGAGTGACGTCATTACTCCTCCTCACTCCTCCTCACACCTCCTCACTCCACCACAGTATCATACACGCGGAGAGACACTAAAAAATGCGTATTCAGCAAGTTTCGCCCGATCGTGTTTAAACCTGCCCGCGTGCCATCATTGCATATAATTATGACGTATGTTAATGAGTGACGTCATTACGCTCCCTCACTTGTACGAGTATTAATTAGCGCATCCTCAACATCCTTACGCACCCTCATTTGTATGAATATTAATTAGCGCAACCTTACGCACCCTCAAAAATAAGGGTCGAACGGCCTCTATGTTACTACTGTTGTATAGTGTCGTATAGTCCTATATATTATTGTATAGTGTCGTATAGTGTTGTATAGTCTTGTATAATGTCATATAGTCTTATATAATTAACATTGTATAGTATCGTATTGCCTTATATAGTGTCGTATAGTGTTGCATAACGTTGTGTAGTGTTGTATAGCCTTCTTTAGTATAGTATAGTGTCATGTATAATCTTGTATAGTGTCATAATTTTTATAGTTTTGTATAACGTTGTATAGTGTTGTATAGTATTGTATAGTGTCGTATAACCTTATATATTGTTGCATGGTTTGTATATATATATATATATATATATATAACGTTGTATAGTGTTGTATAGTGTTGTATATAGAGGATATTTCACGGTGGCGCGGAAATATGACTTTTATTTCACATTTAGTTGAATCATTTCACATTTTATAGTTGTGAATCGTTTCACATTATATTGAATCAATTCACATTAAGTCGAATCAATTCACATTTACTTGAATCATTTCATAACACGGTAAATGGTTTCAAAATAGCATGATCATGCTCAACATGTTTTGTAATAATTTAACAAGTCATGAACAAATTATTTAGTTAGTTGTTAAATCATTGCAAAACATGTTGAGCTATTTCACATTGTCTCTGTGAATCAAGACAACACTAATCGATTTAGAACACTGCAAATTAATCATTTCAGGTTTGGACGAATTATTTTTCATCTTGTCCAGTCACGACATTATGTCCATTCATTTCACACATTGTAGTATTTTTGGTGGTAACGGCCGCCCACACAATAGCAATGCAATTTGGGAAACATGCAGGAAAATGTTTATCCAACATTTATATGCAAAACCGTGTGACGCTTAAACACTTCTATTAAGAGATATCATTTCCCTGTTGGCTATATGCCCACGACGAGTTTAACGGGCAGCACTTCGCTACCTTTTAGTATCCTGGTTATTACTGGCACTACCTATACACTGGCACAGACCATCAAAGGCAAACTGTCATCTGTTTGATACCAAATTGACAGCTTTATGCTCAGGGGCAGGGCTGCAAATTACTGTCGGACATCGGACAATGTCCGACTAAATTTGGCAAATGTCCGAGCAAAAGTAATTTTGATCGGACATTGGTCCGACCACAAAAAAATTGTCACATACATTTTTTTGCTGTGACAAAATCCGATTGCAAATTCACTCAATTTGCATTTTGCAATAAAATTTACGAGACATTCTAGCATTTTACTTAACATTGCGCCGGAATGGCTATACAAACTTGTCTCGTGACTTATATATATCTTGTGACGTATACTGTATATGTCCGACCAAATTTAGTAGTGTTGGTTTTTGTCCGACCAAATTCAAGTTATCTCGGACCAAAATTAAAAGTGTCGGACAAATGTACTGTCCGGTCACATATTTATTTGCAGCCCTGCGGGGAAAAACTTCGATATTACGGCTGGAGGGGGGGGGAGCTTGTTTTGCCCGACCAAAAGGGCGTGGCCGAAGTTGTTCCATTTCAGTCGGGGGAGAGCAGGGGGTAAAAAAGTAAACAATTTTCTGTACATACTATTTTTCACTAATTTTCAAAATATTTTACTGTAATTTGTAAAATTTTTCAGTTTATATTTTCGTAAATTTATCAACATTTTTCCTACAATTATTACTTTTCAATCCGAGACACTCAAATATTTTCAAAATTTGCCCGACAAAATTGTATGGATATACCCGAAGAGATAGAGACTGGGGTGGGGGGACACCTCCCTGGTAGTTTCGCCCCTGTTTATGATTGCTTATTTCAGACAAATAAACCGGCTTAAAAAATAGGAAAGGTGGTTTATCGCCAATTAAAAAATTGAAAACGTATTTTGCTACTTACCTTTTGGAACAAGTAATAAGTTAGGTTCACCTTCTTTTAATACTGGTGGTATCTTCCGTCGAATATACTCCGATTCTATGGAAATAAAGAAAATGGTCGTCATTGAAAGCAATTGAAGTATAACAAAATACGAAAATTCATAACCAATAGATTGTGTTCCTCCACTGACAGAAAGTATGAAAGTCGGCATATAATTTTAACAACAAAAGAGTCTTTACTAAAGGAGCTAGAATATTCTAGCTCCTTTAGTAAAGACCCTTTTGTTCTGTTTGTTTTGAAAAATATTGTATGCTTGTTAATTTTACATACAACGTACATTATAACCAGAGTGTATAAAAAACGGTCGAATCCTGGATTGAAAGTAAATCTTGGAAATGATTGGAGTAAAATGTTGATGTTTGCATTCAATTTAAAATCTAGCCATTCAGCTTTCCAATGATGGGTTGCTTTTTATATTTGAATGATTGGTTCACGGAAAATATTATTTCAACCAACTGAGAAAGAAGAATTAAAATTTTGAGATACAATAACAAATCGAAATTTTTAAAAATGTGAATAGGTTGGCACTAAACTAGAAGATCGAAGCATTTTGGAAATGGTTCATCAAAACATTTCTACCCATGCACTATATATGCTTTCCATATTTCCCTTACTATGAAAACGTGACTATGAAATAACAGCAAAATTGCATTATTTTAAACGGCATCTCAAAAGGCAGCTAGGGAGAGTTCTGGAATTTTTTGTTCCAATGGTACATATATCATCTTTATTTTAAAGAGAAAAAGGGCAAGCTTTAAAATATGTAGTGTGAGACCTAAATAGTTTTATAAGGTGTTAATAGTTTTTCATATAGCCTGTATAACGTCTATATCAAACATGCACAATGCAAATAAATTAAATTGATCAAATGCACATATTGTTATTAAAACTTTATAAAAAAACTAAAAAACACCGGTGTGGTTTTATAGTTCAACCATCACATATAACTGCCATCTTCAAGGTTTATCGAATGTATACCGCCTAAAATGAATACTCTACCAGATTCTGAAAGTCTATCCAAAATTGCAGCCAGAACTCCCAGCGTGAGATAAGTATCTTCCTTGTTATTCACGTACGGTTCTAGGACAATTGTCCTTTCAATTTCCCTATAGACAAAATGAATATGTATGTCAACATTGACACTGCATACTGTATGCATACTGTATGCATGAATCAATTTATTAGCGATTCCCAGCAGCCTTTCGCGCTCGTATTCAACTTTTCCGCTTTGCTCGGGGAACAACCTTAATTGAAATAGCTGTATGTTGTATGTTGTTATAGTTTGTACATATATTGTTTACTGTATGCTGTTTGTATATTGTAGATTGTATAATTTGTAGCCTATATTGTATTAATAGTTTGTATAGTTTGTATAGTTTGTATAGTTTGTATATTGTATATTGTATATTGTATATTGTATATTTAAAAATTGTATATTTAACATGTATATTTAACAATTGTATGGTTACCAATTGTAGTATATTGCATATTCAACAATTGTAGATTTCACAATTGTATATTGTATATTTATAACAATTGTAGATTTAGCAATTGTAGATTTAACAATTGTTTATTGGGCATGTTGTAAAACACAGACTGGACTGGACCGGCAAAACGCGGACTGAGTCCGTGTTTTACAAATCCAGGACTGAATTTGTAAAACACGGACTGCATGGACTGGACTGGACCGGAAAATCGCGAACTGAGATTTGCAAAACGCGGACTCAGTCCATGCATGTTTAGCTATTAGACGAAACCATTCTTGATTACATTCATTTTATACAATGGTACGGTTACGGTTTTGATTTACGATCCCAACAAATATCAGATAGAGTTAATTTGTTTATTTTCTGTTCGTGGCGAAGAGGGCGTATTAAAATGTTGCTGTAAATTTTGCGAGAAATATGAAATATTGTGTTAAAACTCTCGCAGACCATCAAAGCATTAAAGTAATTTAAAATATCCTTAAATGATGTAACTAGGTCTTAATCAAAAGCATTTTAATGTTTTCTATGCAAGGTGGTGGTGTTTGCCTATATATTAGAAGTAATTTAAACTATCTTAATCGAAATGATTCAATCCCTGCTACTCTTGAAGCAGTCTGTGTTGAAATTTACAAACCAAACAGTCAACCATTCATTGTTGCTAGTATATATAGATCTCCTAGTGCAAGCTCTCAGTATTTTTCTATGATAGAATCCTTTATTGATAAACTTGATAGTGAAGGTAAAGAAATTATTGTGGTTGGTGATTTAAACTGCAATATGTTAGATTCGTTGAATTCGGCATCCAAAAAACTAAATGATTTTTTGAATGTCTATCAACTTTCCCAATTAATCGTTAAACCTACTCGTGTAACTCAAACCACAAGCTCCTTATTGGATGTCTGTATCTCCTCACTCCCTGAGAAAATTATATATTCGGATGTATTTCCAATCGGAATTAGCGATCACAACTTAATATTTGTTGTTCGCAAAATTAATATGGAAAAAAGGGTAAGAGCCCATCAGACTGTTGAAATTAGAAATTTTAAACATTTCAATCCCAGCAAATTTCAAGAAGATCTTTTATCTCAGCCATGGGATCTTTTAGACAGTGAGGATGACGTAGACTCTAAATGGTGTTTGTGGAAAACTTTGTTTCTGGCAGTTCTTGATGTGCATGCCCCTCTTAGGATGAAAAGAGTAAGAACCCGAAGTAATATCCCTTGGTTGAATAAAAATTCTAAAAAATTAATGTTTGAAAGGGATAAACTTAAATTGAAGGCAATAAAATCCAATTCCACTTTAGATTGGAATGCATACAAGACGGCCAGAAACGTTGTTTCATGCACTTTACAAAAGGATAAGCAATTATATTATAGTAATTTGCTTTATAAATACAAACACAATCCGAAAGAAAGTTGGCAAACTATAAATCGAATCCTTGGGCGAGGCCATAATTAATCCTCTATATCTAGCATTAGACAAAATGATAACATTATTTCTGGTTCTAATGAAATAGCTGAGACTTTCAATGAATATTTTTCTACTATCGGAGACAAAATTGCAAATTCCGTTGATTCTGGAAATACTCACTTTAGTTCATACATCAGTAAATCATCCAGAATGGGGTCTTTCCTCGCGATTGGACGGTAGCCAAGGTTATACCTCTTCATAAGAAAGGTCCCAAAAATTTGTTGGATAATTATCGCCCAATCTCTATCCTTCCATCTATCAACAAGGCCTTTGAAAGTATACTTTATGAGCAACTACATGGCTATTTATCCAATGCTAGCATACTTTCGAAATGTCAATTCGGTTTCAGACGATATCACTCTACAACTACGGCTCTTCTTGATAGCACTAATCAATGGTATTCAAATATGGATAAAGGTTTGCTTAATATTGTTGCTTTTTTAGATCTTAAAAAAGCTTTTGATACCATTGATCATGAAATCTTGATTGAAAAGCTAAATATGTATGGGGTAAAACGGCATTCATTGAGGTTACTTGAATCATACCTAACAAATCGGTCACAAAAATGCTTTATAAATGGTACATTATCTCACTCTAAACCGATTAAGTGTGGAATTTCTCAGGGATCAATTTTGGGGCCACTATTCCTTTTAGTGTATATTAACGATCTGCCTAATTGTTTAAAATACTGTACACCGAGGATGTTTGCAGATGATACGACGCTCACTGTGTGTGGCAAATCCACACATGAAATTTCGTCTGCTTTGAATCATGATTTAAATAATGTTAACGATTGGCTAATGGCTAATAAGCTTTGTTTGAACCTTAGCAAAACGGAATATATGCTAATAGGATCCAGACACAGCATCAATAATCTTGTTGATAATCCTTGTATTTCTGTTGATGGTAAACTTTTGAACCGAGTGATAGTGACTGAGTCTCTAGGAATTCATATTGACCAATTTCTCTCTTGGGATTTTTATATTGAAAAATTGACAAAGAAAATTTCTAGTGGCATTGGAGCGATTTCTAGGCTAAAACCGTTTGTATGCAGAAATACTCTTATTTCTGTCTACAACGCTTTAGTTCAAACATAGTTTGATTATTGTTGCGAGGTGTGGGATCCGATTGGCAGTGTTTTATCTGATAAATTGCAGACTCTTCAAAATCGGGCAGCAAGAATAATTATGGGTTACCCAAATGAGCACGGATGCTCAGAAGCTGCTTTGACTGCGCTCGGGTGCAAAACACTTAAGGAACGTCGATTTGAATCTAAAGCCAGACTCATGTATAAGATTATTCATGGTTTTGCACCTTACTGAAATATTTGATTATACTGAAATATAAGATTATTCATGGTTTTGCACCTACACTGCGCTTACTGAAATATTTTCTAGTGCTTCAGTTGTCAGATCTCATGACTACAATTTACGTAATTCTGACATGAAGCTCAATCTTCCTTTTCCTAAAACGGAATATTTAAAAAAGAGTATAAGTTTCAATGGTGTTGAATTGTGGAACGATTTACCTATTGAAGTTAGAAACGCGGAAAGCCTAGGAATTTTTAACTCGCTTTTATGTGCAACTAGCCTGTCACGATCTACTAGTTTGTAAATATTTAACTTTGTATATACGTGTCTTGTTGTTTATTATGTGTTTTAAATTTTTTCACCACGCCCCCCCTTGGAAATCAATTTGTATTGAAGGGGTTAGCGTGTTTAAATAAAGTTTTACCTACCTACCTACCTACCTACCTAACTACCTACCTACCTAGGCCCCTAGCCTATAGATAATAAACATGTAAATATATTAATTAAAATTTGTGTAAAAAAATTGGGCAAATTAAAAATAAAAAAAGCATCAAAGGTAGTGTTGTGCATATAAATTACATTATAGCCTAGTATTTATTTCATATTTCTCGCAAATTTATAGCAACCATTTTAATACGCCCTCTTCGTCACGAACACAAAATAAACATTAGCTCTATTTGATATTTGGTGGGATCGTAAATCAAAACCGTAACCGTAACATTGTAAAATGAATTTAATCAAGAATGGTTTCATCTAATTACGATTAACACTAAATGGTATCTGCTATAATAGTTATATCTATAGAATACAGCTATTTTCATTAATATGAAACGGCCACGTTTGATATATACGCACAAGTTTCCTCGACAATAGTGGCACAAAGTCTCACATGACTGAGCGTGTTCCTAAGATTGAACGCTGTTCATCTGTTTATTGAAAACAATAAATAAATAATAGTAATTTATACCAACCTTAGCTCCAGGAATGATTATTCCTTTGCCGATCTGTTATCCGCATTTCCCGCCAAAACTCTCACGACTGAGTCAGTACTGTACTGTGCTTTGTTGCTGTGCTGTGCTGTATTGAGTCCGGGTACCGTCGCTTGCAACTAAGGATAAGTGGTCGTTCATAAAAACATTGCCTATTTGCGTGAGAATCTTCGATGTTTGTCAAGAGCTCTTGACAGGTTTTAATCTGATCAGCCAATCACGTTCAACCATGATCATCAAACATTGAACTTTCTCGGTAAAAAACCCATTGAACTTTGTCATGAGAATAGACAATGTTTTGTCTGCGAACGTTCATCCTTAGTTGCAAGCGACGGTATTAAATAATCTTTTTACCACCTTTTACTACGGACTCAGTCCGCGTTTTCCCGGTCCAGTCCATGCAGTCCGTATTTTACAAATTCAGTCCGCGATTTGTAAAACACGGACTCAGTCGGCATTTTCCCGGTCTAGTCCAGTCCAGTCCAGTCCAGTCCAGTCCAGTCCCTGTTTTACAACATGCCTGTATATTGTATATTTATAACAATTGTATATTTAACAATTATTATATAGCTAGGAACACCAAATTAAACGTGATTGGCTGTGTTGTTAAAATGTGTTCTTAAAATGATAATATTATTGCCATATTTTTCACCCGAACTCAACTTTTATTTATTTAGCGCGGCGGGCATGTTTGTTTTATTTCTAAGCAATCTGTGACCGTTGCTTGACGGCTGCTTTAAGCTGACTGGTTGATTTTAGATCCCATTGTTTTTCCACCAATATAACATTTGATGAAAAATAAATTTCTAAATATTCTACTGTTGCGAACTATACTTAAGAATACGACAGCCATGAATTTTTCTCACAGTTAATCTATTTCCTGTACAAAGTGTTGTGTTTGATTTACAATTGTAATGTTTATTTTTGTATTTGTTTAAAATTAAAGCTTTTATAGTACCGTTATTAACCCATTAGGTAGCATTGCATTCCAATGCGCCCTACTTTATTGCTTTATACTCCGTCTAATGCCTGACGATTTCACTCGTTTAAAAAAAACAACGATATAGTTAAGAGAAACAAAGTTTACCTCTCATTTGCAGTCGTATTACACAAAAATGTTTCCTCATCATTTACAGCCTGGCATTCCAGGCCAAATACATCTTTCACCAGATTTGACAAGCATGGGTTTTTCTTAGCTTCTTCATACAACATCTTAACAGTTTCCTCCTCATCGTTTTCATGAGTAACAACCCACGTAATAAGATCATCTTCCGTCGCACGCCGACCGCTATCTTGTAAAGCAGCTAGTAAATAATGGTCAGTATTTATAGTCATACACATGCTCTCAAGAGTCTCTTTTGTACTAGTAAGAGTTTCAAGTGAATTCTTCCGTCTTCCCATGATTGGCTGAATCACATCCATTTCCTCTTCAACACTGTCCATCAGAATTTTCTCACCTTCTGTGTCGCTCACAAAATATTTTTGTTCATCTTTAAAACCTTCCTCTGGGAGTTTTATTAAGTTCTCAGGTACCATGGTTCTTAAAACATTTGCAAGAAGCAAAGGGTCAATAGTCTTGTTAACAGTTTCTAGCAGCATGAACGTCTGTAATGGTAGTTCGTCAACCGGCACTTGGCCAATGCAAGCTTTTGCTAACTCCTTTCTCAAATTCAAAATCTGTTTCATTGTAAAATGGTTCAAAGAATAGCACTGATGTCTTTTATCATCTATGGATTCCTTCCATTGCTTCAACTCGTTTTCCATTGTTTCACAGGTTTCATCAATGTTCTTTAACAACTCTTCTCTACAGCCTTCATTTTTACTGCACCGAAATTTTGTTTTCCATGTTAGGTAGTTGATTTCACCAACTTCACAAAGTTGCATGTACAAATGACTTATTCTGAGTATTCCTTCAAAAACCTGAAATATTAAGAACACCAAATATTGTATATTATGTAGAATACTAGAATCCCCTTATTACGTTTTCGTAGCGCTTTGCATTGTGGTTATAGTGGTATTACTGATATTCAAGATGGCTTATTATTTGTGTTACGAGGCTTTATTTAGGTAGTGTAGTGAATCGTTACAACTTTCCTAATTATTGTCACTAAATGATAATGTTGGAATAGTTCTGCTTCAAACTTCTCTTCTTTCTTCAGCTTTGAACTGGCTTTCTCCGTTCGTGATCTGTTCGTTTCTTCGTTGTTTTTAGTTCGTTTGAGCTTCAGTAGCTTTTCATCAATTGAGCTTTACTAAGTCTACGTTCACTGACGAATTTCGGTTGTGCACACCATTTTATAGTAACGGTTGGGGGATCTTGTACACGTGATCTAGCAAGTGGTGTCATTTGTATCCAGCCAATCAACGTTGAGTTATAAAAGTGTGGGTTGGCGTTGCTAGCTCGTTCCAGCTCTCACATTTTGTTTATTTAAGGCGTTGTCGCACTGGTCAAGTCGATTCGCTGTTTAATCGATCGATATTAAAATATGTTCACAACTTAAAATACTTATCAAAATATCATAGTAAAATCTTCAACCTATACCTATACCTATGTGAACCTTACTTTACCTACTAAACTAAATTTACTTACTATTTTATTGAACCAAGATTTTGATGACGTAATGTTATAAATACTCAACCGCGCGAAATATACCGAAGAATGATTGTATGTATAAACTTTATTTCAACACGGAAATCTCATCATTACAAACAATGCTCTTCCTGAGAGCCGTGCATATATACAATTATATAAAATTATAAATGCCGAGAAAAAGGGAAACAAAGGGTAAACTAGATTTTACGATAATATGAATGATTATATTACATATATACAATAAAAGCATTAGAGACTAAGAGAATCTCGTATATTATTAGAAACCTTCGTTTTGAAAGCAATGACATCCTCGGTTGATTTGATGTCATCACTTAGAGAATTCCAGGTGACCGCTCCACTGTATGTTAAACTATTTTTCATGAAGTTTGTGCTAGGTTTTGGAAGAGAAAAATTCACCTGGCTACCCCTTACATTGTAGTCATGCATTTGATTCCTTCTGGAAAATTGTGATGTTAGATACATAGGTGCATCATTATTTGCTATTTTATGCATTAATAATGCATTATTCAAGTGCCACCTATGTTCCAACGTAAGCCAGCCTAATTTTTCTAAAATTTCCGCAGATCTAATATCATATCCAGAACGTGTGATAACCCGCCCAGGCACGATTTTGTAATTTCTGAAGTTTCTCTTTAAAACCTTTATTGCAGTTATCCCATACCGATGAACAATAGTCGAAATGCGGTTGTATAATTGCATAATATACTTTCTTTAATGCGTCTACTGGAACAAAATCACGAATTTGTCTCAAGACACTAAGGCCACTCTTTACCTTCTTTACAGTATTACTTATGTGCTCATGCCAGCTAAGATTTTCGTCAACAGTAACACCTAGGATTTTGTTGTGTTTAACTCTTTTCAGTTTAACATTTCCTATGAATAAAGAAGGTTCCCTACTTAAGTTTCTAATTCGTTGGACTGAGCCAATGATCATGTATTCGCTTTTGACAATATTGAGACTAAGATGATTGGCTCTCAGCCAAATGCACAAATTTTGTAGATCTCCATTAATTCTGTTTTCCATAAGGTTAAAATTTTCGTTTCCCATAGTGATGCTAGTGTCATCTGCATACATATTTGGTATTGTATGAGCGAGACAGCCCGGAAGATCATTAATAAAGATCAGAAACAGCAACGGGCCTAGTATCGATCCCTGTGGTACACCGCATTTTATTATACCCGGATTTAAAAGGACCCCATTTATAAAGCATTTCTGGCTTCTATTAGAAAGGTATGATTGGATCCATTTTAATTCGTCACCAAGAAAGCCGTAATACTGCAATTTATTCAACAAGATTGTGTGGTCCACAGTATCGAAGGCTTTCTTAAGGTCAACAAAAACAGCTATGTTCAAGTTCCCCTTATCCATGTTATTGAGCCAAAACATAGTATCTTTATGTAAGGCTGTCAAAGTAGAGTGTCGAGGTCTGAATCCCGACTGATTTTGTGACAATAAGTTATTAACACTTAAATATTCATAAAATTGTTTAAAAACGATTTTCTCAAAGACTTTAGCTATTACTGACAAAACAGATATTGGTCTATAATTATTTGCATCCGATCGTTCTCCGCTCTTAAAAATTGGGACTACCCTTGCACTTTTTAGGTCATCGGGAAAAATACCACTTATTAAAGATTTATTAAAAATAATTGAAAGAGACTCGGATATGATACCTGCAACACCCTTGATCACGTTACATGGTATTTTATCTAGGCCAGATGCCTTTTTGGAGGGGATATCCCTTATAGCCGCCGCAACCTGACCAGCACTAATGTGCTTAAAATTAAATTTACTTGTACTTTGATTCACATAGGTGCAAGAATTTAAAGTTGTACTCGGAATATCACGGGCTAGGTCCAGTCCCAATTTAATAAAATGTTCATTAAAATTTTCAGCTATAAGTTTCTTATCACTTATAATACCCGATTCGTTTTTTAAAATATTTACATTGGTCCCTTTGGTAGGTTTGTTCAAAAGGTTATTTAGCAATTTCCACGTTTTCTTGGTGTTGTCTTTATTCGCCTCAAGGTTTTGAATAAAGTAATTTCTTTTGCATGTTTTTAGCTTATTATTAACCTTGTTCCTCATTTTACAGTATTCGAACCAGTTTGCTTCAGAACGATTTTTGACAGCATGCTTTTTTAGGTAATCCCTACGAAACATCATGTCTCTAATATCGGATGTAATCCACGGGGCATCACGATTTCTAACTCGTTTAGTTCTAATTGGTGCATGAGCATCCATAACTCTATTAAAAAAAGCTTTCCACATTCGCCACATTTCATTAGGATCATGAAATCTTTTCAACAGTTCCCATGGTATTTTTTTTAAATCGTCGGTAAATGCATTCATGTCAAAGATTTTATAATTACGAGTCTCAATAATCCTAGGTCGCTCGCGTGGTATTATCATACGACGCACTGCATATATCAAACTATGGTCACTGATAGAAAGGTGACATACTCCACTACTCCTTATACGATGAGACGCTGTTGTAGCAAAGTGATCAATTAAAGTTTGCGTACTGCTTGTAATACGTGTAGGTTGTTTAATAAGCTGAGTATACTGATATTCATCATATAGAGAAGTAAGTTTCGATGTATGTGGAGTTTTATTTATCTTCAGGACATTACAGTTGAAATCACCTAGTATTATAGATTCCTTTTCCTCCACATTGCTTTAGTTTGTCTTTTTTATTCATAGAATTCACAATGTCACTACCAGCTAATGGATTTTTATTTTTCACGCTTCGCATTACATTGTGATAACTTCGTCCATAATACTGTTCTTCACGCGATGTTGTCGCTTGATCTACAATATTTTTACGTTCTAGCGATTGTTGCAATGCTGAGATAAGACGATTAAATCGTTCCGAGTCAACGAGTCTTAGCAGGGGCGGATCCAGCTCCTGAGCTGACTGATGCATACATAAGATCTCGCATTTGTAGGGGGGTCCGGGGGTATCCTAGCTCCCCCGGGAAATTTTGAAATCTAGGACCTCTGAAATGCGATTTCCTGCGTTCTGAGCGGACTCTTTTGTTCAAATTCATATATTAGAGTCAGAAAAATTTTGCTGCATTTTTGGAAAAACAAGTAAAAAACTTGAACCTATACGCAAAAACAACATAATTTCTCCATATAAGAAAAAAAAAATTGCTTGTCCAAGTGTAATAGCAGCAGTGGCAATAAGTCTCTATTAAAAAATAGTCAGTACTGTGCTTCTTGTAGCCTTAACTTTTCTATTGAAAAACATTTCGGCAGAAAATCACGACAACGCAAATACACACATACTGTGTAACAAAGGTGTATACAGTGTGCTCCACTAGTTGCATTGCTGGACTCAGAAGACAGTGTTATTATGTTGTTTATGAACCACCTTCCCCCATTAATTTCCAATGTTCCATGAGTAAAATCTTCTAGCATTAGAATTTAAAGTAAAATAAAATATGGTGCATAAAAGTATTTTGTGCTTCAGTGGTGGATCCAGCAAAGTTGTTTTTTTTCGGGGGGGGTGCTAACCAATGGCGAAACAAGCACCAAAGGCGCGAGATTTCTAGGGTGGTCCAGGGGCATACAGTACTCCCCCGGAAAATTTTTAAAATTTGGGGGTCTCTGAAATGGCATTTCCAGCATTCTGAGAAAACATTCTGGAAAATTTTTAGATTCTCAAAACATTTAAAAATTCAGAACATTTAATATTGGCTATTCCGCTATTGTTAACTAGTGATACGCAACTGAATTCCTTAACATAAGTTGGTTAGAATTAGGATAAACGTCATTTTTGCACCCCCCCCATGCACACCTGTTGACCAGAACCTGGGGGGGATGTGCACACCCCCCCTCTAAATCCACCACTGTTGTGCTTTACTGTGTAAATATATGCAACTCTGTCTTATGCTACTAATCTTACTCTCATGGACAGTGTGGTTGGCATCAGTTGGTCAATTTCACTTGCCCCTGGCTGCCTTTGATATGAACTGCATGGTGAACAGCCCACACTCTGAATACTGAGAATATTGCCTTGTGGCGAGGAAACCAGTAAACTAGCACACAACAAACACTGGGTTTAAAAATATTTAAATATATCTAGGTACACACACAACCACATGTTTTAAATCAATAGAGACTGTGTGTAAACTGTAAATTAATTTAATGAAGCTATCTTAGTTGGAAATTGTTTGTTAAATAAACCAATACCAAACTGTACAATGATAAACATGACATAATTTAATCATATGTCTTCTATCTGTCCCCTTTTGCCTGACTTTCAACTAATATTAATACAGTACCTTTAAGAAAGGCTGCACAGTAGTATTGATGAATATTTAATTTTCCCTATGTTATTATATAAATGCACATCTTGTCAAATATATCCATACACTTATCAATGGTAATCGTAATCCTCAGGGTGGTATGCTTGGCTATCCAAAACATAATACTGGGATAATTAGCATTACAAATATATAATTTAATTAAATATATTTTCCAAATTATCCCACTTTTGTGAGCAAATTTCATAATTAAAACCTGTATACACCAGTTACAGTATATACAGTATTTATACCGTCCATCATTTTATCATTGATTCTAAGATTAAAATCTGTCAGGAGAATGTCATATGACATATACAGCTTATATCAAATTATATTTGCACAGACAAAGCATATAAACACTCAACTATGGTAGGCGAGCAATCCCAGGTTATCATCTTTGTTTGCAAAATATCCAGCTAGTGTACAGTAATTGCCCAATAATTCAGGCAATGCAAAGTAAGACCCTGTCACAAGGCATGCCAGCTCATTTCCATATAAAATGAAAATGAAATAAGATAGGAGATACCACTGGAAGTTGCAACTTGAAACAATTACCTTTCATGTAAACTCCCCCTTAGTCTTCTACTGTAACCAATGTTGCATTACTATTAGAAATCTCATTAACCTGCAATTATGCTCTGTAATTACATATGGAGACTGATGCAAGTCTTGATCCATTCAGAGTTACTTTCCACCCACACTATAGTTTTATTTTTGGTATCCAATCAAAATGTGCCAGAAGAAATGTCAATTTCACATAATAACAAGCTAAATATAGTTACAATCACTAAATATATCATAATAACAATTATTTAATTATAGCATTAACCAATTGTCAAAACAATACATTAAATATGGCATGAATATTCATGCTAGAAATAGCCAATCGGAGTTACAACCATGAACCATAAGGGCAGTTGTAGGACACAAACATTTAATAACATGTGTATCAGGGCTTCATTTTTCTTTGCCCGCCAGCTGTGAGAAAAATGAAGGTCTGGGCACAGGATATAATCCCATGTAAACAGAGATGAAATTTGCCTCAGTAAAGCAAGCTGTGAAGTTTTGTATTGGGGCTGGTTTGCCTCCAGACAAGCAAACCTCTGTAAAATGTAAAACTCTCCCCTCCCCCCCCCCCAACCACTAACATCTTTCTGGTCTTTCTAGAATATAGAGCAACAACAGTAATAGACACAAACTGTAATTATTTTGTTATTACATACAAATCTATATTAATTGTGGACCCCATTTTCCACTTTAATTACACACTTCTTGAACTGAACAATTTAGTAATTTACTACCATTTGTAAAAACTTACTTAATTTATAGACTTACTTAATTAGAGCCCTCTCGAATGTTCGATCGAGTTTCACATCGTGGGCATAAGATCCCTTCCATTTTTCCACTTGGTAGTAATTGGTTCGACTGTAAATTATTTGTTATCCGTCAATTTTGAGGGAGTGTTTGCATATCCAAATATCCTTGCCGCCATGACTTGAATAGAATGCCTTGTTTAATACGTCACAGTAGATTTGAATTTGCAATTTGCATCAGTGCACCGATGCGAGCGCCCGCAATCTGCATGCAATGCATCGCTCAGCGGCCAAATCTAACGTGACGTAGGGCTCTAAAACAATAGATTTGATGATGTCACGTTAGATTTCACGCGGTAAAGGACTCGGGACCGATGCATTCACTGATGCAAAATGGATGCCAGTGATGCCAAATCGATCTAACGTGACGTAGGTGATGCATTTTGCTTTAACTGTGACGTCAAAGGATGCGGTAACAAATAACATATTTTGTCGTGAAAATATTAACGCTTAAGTGTCGCTAAATAACAGAAAGTACACATTTGCGATCGCACGTCGTATATTGGACTTATTTTGACAATTTCGACTGTTATTGAGACTATTTAAATTGGATTTCATCCTAAATAGTGTATTCCTGACATGGAGTCAATTTTAAGCAAAAGATTTGCGGGTTGATAGGAGATATTTTATTACTGAGTGCTTTGAGTATTGGCGACATTATATATCTATATATTTCAAGCTA